CAACTGCTCGAAAATTTCCCTCTGTTTTCTCACTTGTTCTGAAAACGAATACTGAGTGTTGCTGCTACAGTCAGATGGATAAGAGGCGATTCGGGCTTGATCGTGACCCAGAGCAATTAGCAGGAACAAGAGGAGAAAGACTGCAATCTAGTGAAGTTGAAACTTTACCAAAAACGTTGATCGCGAAAAGGGAAACACTCGTTCGTGAATCGTCTTTCGAACCGATAACACTTCTTTTTTGATCGCGATTCACACCACTGCGAAATGATCGTAATTCTACCGCCGACTTACGACGTCGAATTGCTGTTTGCGGTTCGTTCGGTGAGATGTGATGAGTATGGCTGTTGTCGTTCGTTGTGTTAACGCTACAAGTGAAATCCATTATTCATATTCATTGCTCGTTTGAATTATCAGATACATATTCGGAATGCTGCAATCAAAAAACTCACTGAACAGACAAATGGATATAATTGCGTATAACAGGTATCTAACGACATCCGTGCTCAAATAACGAAGAATTTCAAGTAATCAAAAATGATTATTCATCAAAAAAAGAGTGGCCAATTGAATAGAGTAATTATCACAGAATAAATGATAGTATGAGATATCTAACTTCGAAGTGTCAGAATGGTTGTTATGAAAACCGATTGATTCGAGTTCGTGATAACTTCTTGAAATTACTTCCTGAAATATCATCTAATAGAATCGATGTTCTAGGCGATGTTTCATTCAGACACTGGCCACACTCGACTGAGAGTGATTAGAATACTAACTTGATCAAAAATCGGAGATATGAAAGCAATTCAACTGAAATAATTTAACACACGTAATATTCACTGGTGACGATTAATGATACAAAAAACTCCTCCATTCTGATCAAAACCATGAAATAATGATCAACGGCAATTACCATTTGAAAAGTTAGATGATTTTGATAACAAGTTTTGAACAGCAATTTTAAATTTCGAATGAAGTTTTTCCTTCATTGAGGATGTTTCATGAAGGACGGCGATGAATAATTCGAATGTTTCGAGGGGATTAATACGGAGTTCACAATGCTGATCGTGTTGTAAATGAAAACTTGGAATAGTTTCTTTCATGATGTGTTACAACAGTGATTCTCATATTCGGGTGCTCCAGTACCTTGACGATCTGGCAGGCCACCATCACTCCCCCCCCCCTTATTAGATATGGGAATCGCACATATTATGTTCAGATGACCGTTACGTTCAATCTTATTAGCACGTCCACGATTGTAATTGACATCGTTGGGTCTTCTTCTCTTAGACCGCTGTGTTCCTCATTGTCAGTACTCCAATCGAATATGA